GTAGGAACGCCGCGCTCACATCCGTAGCCGCTGCTATCCACAGCCTTGCCGATGCCAACGCTAAGCCCAAACGTAGCCCTTCAACGCTTGCACCAGCGGCAAAAAGGTCATTGGGATCATGCTTCTGGCTGGCCATGTTGCCACAGATAACTATCCGCGCCTTGCGTTTCCAACGCGGTGTCTTCGATCCTCGTTGCTCTGCTTCCGAAAGAGGGGGTGGTGGCTTCACAGTGAAAACCACTTTGCCAGGTATGAGGACCAAAAGGCCCTCGCGCTCCATCTGGCGAGCCTCCTGGATCGTCTTCCGCTCGATAGCGTTCGTTTTCTCCTCGAGGTTGGACAACTCCTTGCTCATGGGCTCAACCCATTTGTCCATGTTGGCCTTCACTTGGTCCAACGGAACGTCCAATGTCACGTCCAAATCCTTCTTCAGATTCGCGAGGTGCTCCTCAATATCACCGATATTGGTCTCGTCCATAACATTGGCAACCTTGAGGTAGAGGGAGTGGCACTTCTCTTCGGTGAGCTTGATCTTCTCCTCTACATCCCGAAGTAGATCCCGAACTGCACCATTGATGCCCTCGATCTCCTCGTTGATCGTTTCCCCGACGGCCTGTAGCTCCTCAGCCAGGATCTCCTCCTCAGCCAGGAACTCCTTCAACCATTCCTGCCTGTCCCGCAACTTGGCAAGAACATCATCTTGTAGTTGGCATAGTTCCCGACTCACATCTCTTGCCCTTTCGCGGTTCTCCTCCTCAACCTCATTGATAAGGAACATCACTGCGTCGGGCTCCCTCTGACTATCCATAGTCATCATCTTCAAGACGGCTCGTTGGAGTTCGTCGGGAACCTGCGGTGGTAGTGGAGGAGGTTTGAACCCGTACTTGCAGAGGATGTCGTAGGTCGGTTTGGTCATCTTTGTAGTCCTCGGGGTGTAAGTTGTTACGACAAGCCGCCTTCCTGTCCATGGCTCAGTAGAGTGGTACATCTTCGGGTTGATCTCAATGGGAACACCTCTCTGTAATTCGTGAATCCGCCCCCGGCGCCATCCACCTCTAGGGAGTTCCTTCCATTCATCGGCGTAGTCATAGTCCCGAGGCTGTGATTCAACCCAAACACCGCCTCCACTGTCACATTGTAGTACAGGAAGAAGTACATTGTTGCGTTGGCCATGGTTGTGCACATCACGGTGGCAACTCATCCCAACATCTTCCGTGATCAATAGTGAGGTGAAGTCATCATGACCCGTCAGTTTCTTGAAGGCCTGCACCAGATACATAGTGGCAACCGGATAGAGATCCGTGTCCCGCACAACTCCACATAGGCTTCCGTGGGTGTACTGGCCCACCAACCATTGAAGACCATCGCCTTGAGTAGTCCTTGTCGTTGGTCTTGCCTTCGTTCGCAGAACGTTCCACAACGCGACCACGTCATCCAAAGAGAACTTCTGGTGGTCCAGGAGGTCCTTGGCGAACTTGTCGATCTCGTTGTCGGGTTCCTGGAGCAGTTGTGCTAGGGTGGCCTTTCCTCGAACTCGCCGTTCAGGCACTGGTAGTTCCATTTCGTAGGGCCCGAACTCGACCAGGTCACCCGGGTCAAACAAGTACGGCTTGATGTGAACTGAGGTGGTATAAGTTCCATCCGAGTGGCGGACCACTCTTCCATTCTTCACATCATTGGAGTATCCCACAAAGACTCCCTCGCACCAGCGTTCCAGTAGGTCATACCGCCCACCTTGGCCAAATTGTTTGTGCTTCACGTGGGTGGGGGCACCAAAGGGGAGGTCCTTGTCCTCGTGGTTTCCCAAGGCCAGATCTCGTTGTCTTCGAGCTGCAAACTCTGCTGCTAAAGGCCAGCACGACATGGGCAAGTGAGATGCTCGCAAGAGGACCTTCACTCTGCGCTTAACATCCCGAACCAGGGCCTCAGCCCGTCCATTCTGTTGCGGCTGCTGGCTTTCACCAGTGGTGGC